GAAATCTTCTATTAGTTCCAGTAGTTTTCTTGTGGATTCTTTGGGGTTTTCTGTGTATAAGATCATATCATCTGCAAATAGAGATACTTTGACTTCTTGTGGAATAGCTTTGAAAGCATGCTTTGTTGATAAGTTGGAGTTGTTAGTCAGTAAATTGCCATTGAATAATTCTATGTAAGCTTTTTGAGCAATAATAATGCTTCTTTTCAGCTTCCAGATTCAATACACAGAGTTTTTTTCCCTTCCTCAGATCCATTAATTTTGGCCTAACCCTATTTTTTTTTAAATGAACAAGACTTAGTTTCTTCTTTGTCTTTGTCTTCTTCTCCTTCTCCTGCTTCTACTTTCCATTAAACACAATCCAAAGATACAAGCCCACTTTCCTCATTAATTATGGATATATCTACAATATATTTCACCCTTAAAAGGTAGATTTACAAGGTCTTTTATTTTGCAAATTAACTTTGTACTTTTCCGTAACTTCCTACGTACTCTACCATGATGAAGATGTAATTATGTCAAGGAGCATCAGTAATGTTACAAAAGTAGATGCCTCTGGAGAAAAATGAATGATGACAACAAATATGTGGAGTTTTACACAATTTTATAAAATTTCCAAGAATTTTTCTACATCCTCCCATTTGGTATTTATCTTCCCCTTCCCTATGCACTCCGAGCATGCATCTCTTCCTGTATAGTGGGGATCTAAGTCTGTTGGAAACAGCATGACAAATTTAGTGCATTGTATTAAGTGATAAAATAGAGATTTGCCTAAACTGCCACAGGACCCCAGAAGATGGAGGGGCTAATGGAAGAAGGGGTATCAGGAAACATTTCATAGATGAAATGTCTTGTAGGTGGGAATGAAGAATAACTATTTATAAGGATGTATATTCTATGACTTATATTCTTTCCTAGAAGTCTTTCAAAGAACAAAGAGAAAATTTACTTATTAAAAAATATTTATATAATAAAACTCATTGTATATTGCAATTACCATACGGGCCCATTCGGATACTTGCATAAGTCTACAACACATTATGGGATCTTAGTACTATTATTTTTTTCTAGATATTGGAACATTTTGCTATTTCATCATCATAGGAATTATTTCATCTTTAATTATCAACTATTCCCAATTATGTTAAAGGAGACTAAAATAATAAGAAAGTGAAAGAGTGGTGGAATTGCCTAGAAGGTTGATGCAACTATGAAATAAATCATTTTTGTTTTTTTATACCATTAGCTTTCTCAATGCATTGCTCAAAGTATTACATCATCTTTCAAGAAAATATAAAAGAAGTTTGGAGACGCCATCTTTGTGGTCTTATTCTTTTTTAAGCTTTCATTGAACATTGTTGAAAATCTAGAGTTTTTCATTTTCTGTCCATACTGGCAAAGAAAAGAAAGTTAATAGAAGAAGACATCTCATAATTGTTAAAAAAATCAAATTGATGTGAAGAGCAGAAAGCATCACTCTAGACTCTGAGTGTGGTGAAATTGATTGGCTAAGTGAGACCTCAGACTATGAATT